GCGTTGTTGTTGTTTCCCTGGTCGCGCTGCTTCCGCGCATGTCCGCTACCACACAGGGGGCGGGCTTGGGTGGGGGCCGGGTGGGGTGGGGCGGGGTCGCGTATCACCCTGGCGCCGTCGTCGACGCGCGCGCCGCCACTGCCTTGGGCTCGGCCTCGGCTGAGGCTCTCGCGGCGCGGCTGCGCCCATTGCACCGTCGTTGCCTTAACCGCCCGGGCGGACATCGCGGAGTATGCGCTGAAGCGCTCTGTGTGCTGGTGTGTGTCCTTCTAGGCCTTCTGAATGGGGTCGGAGTAGATGGGGTCGGAGGATCGCGCCGCATCACCGATGCATTGGCCATGGTCGTCGATGTGGAGCCCGATTTCTCCACGCAGACGTCGCCGATACACGGCCGACGTTTCGGATGCATCGGCGACGTGGCGCGATTCTCCGACTCCATTTGTCCAGGTCCCATCGGGGAGGCATCTAGTCCCGTTGGGGCAGAAGTAGTACATGGTCTGATTCAAAGCATCGGCGCACGCTGGGCCCGATGATCTGCAGGCTTTGGCTGCTGCTTCGCGAGGAACGGGCCCAGGTACACACGCACGCGCCCACACACCCACACACACAAACGCACGCACGCACGCTTGCACGCACGCTTGCACGCACGCACGCACGCACGCGCGCACGAACGCACGCACACAAACACACGTACACAAGCACACGCACAACCACACAAACACAACAGCACAACACACACACACAAACACCCACAAGCACCCACACACGCACACACGCACACACGCACACGCACACACGCACACGCACACGCGCACGCGCACGCGCACGCGCACGCGCGCGGACGCACACACGCGCACGCGCGGACGCGCACGCGCGGACGCGCACATGCGCACGCGCACGCGCAGGCGCACGCCCACACGCGCACGCGCACGCGCACGCGCGCGCACACACGCACACGCGCACGCGCACGCGCACGCACACACGCACACGCGCACGCGCAGGCTTGTACGCGCACGCACACACGCGCGCACACACGCACACGCACACGCGCACGCGAACGTACACGCACGCGCACACGCGCACACACACGCGCATGCGCACGCGCACTTGCTCGCACACGCTCACGCACGCGCACACGCACACGCACACACACATTCACACATGCACGCATTCACACATTGTCACTTTCACACATTCACACATTCACACATTCACACATTGCAGACCTTCACGCGTTCACGCATTATCGCATTCACACGTTCACACATGGATACATTCACACACGCATTCACACACAAGCCGCAGCGCAGCGCGATGGTGGGTACATTCGCGGTCTGGGGCGTATTATTGGCCTGGTTTGCAGGTCGGGCAGGATAGCCTGACGCCCCAGAGATGGTTGGCGTGCGCCATGTAGATGCTGCGCTGTTGATGCTTCCATCGGTGCCCAGCGCATCAGCCAGGAACAGTTGGCCACATGTGTGCGCAGCGCACTCTGCCGCACTGCGGCCTTCACAGCTCGGGCACGCTTCTGCGCTCTGCACCTCACACTGTTGCACGCGTGCGCCTCGCGCCGCTGGAATCCCAGGCAGGTTGGGCTTGGGCGGGCCCGGAGTTCACCTCAGCTCAGGAGCAGAGGGAGGAGGAGAGGGATGCGGATGCGCAGGAGAAGGGGTGCAACGCAGAACGCGTAAATACGCCCACGGGGACCGTGATGGTCATGCCAAGAATTATGATGACGCTCATTACCGAGCAAACGAGATATGATAGAGCGCGCGCGTGGGGCCCGATAGACTAAAAGGGTGGCCCCAGCTTGAAGCTACCCCGCTCCCCCCTTCCTTGCTAAAGGGGGGGGGCTTCGGAAGCCCCCCCCCCCTCCCCCCCTTTTCGTGGTTCGGAAAGGGGTGGGGGGCTTCCAAGCTACCCCCCCCTCCCTCCCTTTAATTGAGCCGGGGTGAGCCCCCCCCCCCCCCCCCCCCGGAAAGGGGGGGGGCTTTGGAAGCCCCCCCCCCTCCCTCCCTTGGTGCAAAAGGGGGGGCTTGAAGCCCCCCCCTCCCTTCCCCCCTTTGGCCGCCCAGCTCCCGGAGCCATCGCCCTCCCTTTCGCCTCCATTTATTCCCGCCCCTCTGCCTCCTCCTCTTCTTCCTTTTGCCTCCTCCTCTTCCTCGTCCTCTCCTCCTCATAGTCGTCATCGTCATCATCAGCATCATCAGCATCATCATCATCATCATCATCATACAGCGACTTGTCGGCATTTGTGGCAACACCGCGGCCGTATTCCCTCGCTCAAGTTCTAAAGGGACGCAAGCATTCATTTTTTGCGCGGGGCAACGCCGACCTCACAGTGCCCTCTCCGCTGCCATCACCGTACGCGGCAGCTCGACGCCCTCCTCCGATTGCGTCTGCTCTCAGTCGCTGGCCTGCCCAGCGGTGGAGTGCCGCTGCTCGACTGGCAAGGCTCGCTGGCTTCTGCCCAGCCGGCAGGCTGGTCAATCGAGTTCGTTGTCGTGCTCGTGGTGGGTGGCTTCGCGTACGGCAGCGTCGTTGGCGGCTACTGGTTCAAGAGCTCGCTGACGGCCCCCGTGGTGCAGCCTGCACCCGCTCCAGCATCGCTTCAGGAGGCCGCGGACACTCTCGACCTCGTGAGCGCGGCGACTACCCAGGCGAGGAAGTTCTGCCTTTAGGCGGAATGGCTGCTCGCACCGCTGGACAGTTCCATTACTTCTGGTACAACGTCGGGGCGGTCGCTCTCCTCCACGAGAGACTCACTCTGCTGCCTGGGTACATCCTTACCCCTGACGATGAGGTATATGCTGAGAGCGACGCGGCAGGTGGTGACTTGAGAGCTGTGCATGACTCGGCGGGCCAGGGCGTCGCGATTGTAGGCGTCGCCGCCAACAAGCTCGACAAGTTCTGGCGGCTGCCGTCGGCAGCCGTCGCCTGGGCTGCTGCGCGGAGCTGCGTCGCCCAGGGCCATGGGCCTCTGGCGCCTTCGCCCTTCATCCTCGAGCTCAGCGCCGACAACGTGTTGGGCGTCTCGAAGGGGGTCCTGGCCGTGTTCGACCCGCTCGGAGCGGCCCCCGCCGCCGCAGCGCCTGGCGCCCCGGCCTTGGCTGGCGCGGCCGCGCCCCCCGCGGGCGCCCCTGGGCCGCCTGCCGCGTCTGCCGCTACGCCTGTGAGCGGGCTGGGCGCGCTGGCCGCGGCGCTCGGTGCGGGGGGGGGCCGCCCTGCCTGCCGCCGCTGGCCCTCCGGGCGTCGGCGCCGCCGCCGCGGCCCCCGCGACCCCAGGCGCCGCAGGGTCTGATCCCCGCGTGCTGGCCACCGATTTCGACGCGCGGGGGGTGCGGGACATGCTTGTCAGGGACGCTGTCAAGCGCCAGACCGAGACCCCCCGCGCCGACTGGCCCGTGAATGGCCTGACGACCACGATGCGGGTGCTCCACTTCATGCTCCCCATGGCGGACGGGGCGACGTCGTGGCTCAACCGCTGGGTGGCCATGAAGCAGGCCTCAGAGACGGACGACGCCGACAGGCTGTACGAGACGCTGTGCCGTGTCGTCGAGACCTTGCGCTGCCGCGACCAGCTGATCATCTGCGGGCTGTCTTCCTACGAGTTCCTATCGCGGCAGCTGCTGATGGTGGAGGGGCGCTTCTTTGAGGAGCGGGCGCGCAGGACTCCCCAAGGGCCAGGCCAAGGACGGCGCCGCGGCCGCGGCCGCCGACGTTTCCTCCGAGATTGGCCACTTCCTCGGCACTGGAGAGACGTTGGGCAATTTGTGCATTCTCCCACCCGTAATGGATTGGTTTGCTGAGCAGATGAAGAGTGAGGCTACCGTTGCGAAGGAACGCCGCAAGGCTCGCGAGGAGCGGGCCTTGCGGCAGCCATGACGTTCCCGAAGGACGCTGGTCAGGGGGGGCTTCACGGCGCGCCACCTGCTCGCGAGCCTGGCCAGCTTGGCCCCGAGCCCGTCGAGGCCCCACCTGGCCTGGAGTTGCCCGCGCGAGGTGACCATCGCCAGCGAGACGTTTTTCCGCTTCCTCTTCTTCCAGTGGATGGGCGTCGCCATCTTCCGCTTGGACGTGGGGCTCGTCTGCGCGCCGCCAAAGGCGCGGGCTGGAGAGAGTGGTGCAACGAGGGGTTGTCTGCTCTCAACTGGCTCCACTGCGGCAAGGGCGAGCCTTCCATGCCTGACGAAGGGGGGCCGCCGCCCGCGGCCCAGGCAGCCGCTGTGGACTACATCGCGGGCCTGTACCGCGACTTCGAGCTGCCCGCCGCCTACTCGGAGAGAGGCCGCGATTGCGAAGCATCCCTCGTAGAGATGCTCGCACAGGCACCTGGCTACGCTGGTGACAGCGGTCGAGTGCGCCCCTACAGCACGCCGCTTGTGGCCTGGCCCGAGTCGACGAAGGCAGTCTCCACTTGCGGCGTCGTCCCCGAGGCCGACTCCATCGTGCTGCAGGATTGGAGGCAGAGTATGCTGAATCCCGAGTCGGTGGCGGCGGAGCTGCGCGATTCGCTGAGGGTTATCCGCCTTTATGTCGATCCTGAGCTGCGCTTTAAGCCGAAGTCCTACGCTGAGTTTTTGAAGCAGCTGGAGGGCCACGGCATGATCTCCTGGCGGGTCTCCAGCGAACAGGCATCCTTCTCTACTGGTCTCTTCTTCGTGCAGAAATCAAGCGGCAAGCTGAGGTTGGTGTTCGACACCAGGCTGGCCAATTGCAGTTTCTCCTGCCCGCCAGCCACTCGTCTCCCCACGCCCAGCGCGCGGGCCAGCCTTGACTGTGACGACAGTTTTCATTTCGCGCAGGGCGACATTCAGTGTGCTTTTTATCATTTACGTCTGCCAGCTGGCATGGAGTCGCTGTTCTCTCTGCCTCCGGTAAACAACATATTTGTCGGCCTCGCGTCGGTCAACGGGGTTCGTCTTGGCATCAACGACTGCGCCCAGCCTCTTGTCACGGTCGTTCCCATGGGATGGAGTTGGGCCCTTCACTTGCGCCAGAGTGCGCTGACGAGAGCCCTGTCGGATGTCGGGTTCGGTCGCGACGATGTGATTCTGGATGGGGGCTGCCCGCGGCCCTTGGTCGCTGAGAAGGACGCGGTGTGTGCAGGGTACGTTGGCAACTTCTGTGTCGTATCCAAGTGTGCCGAGACAGCCGCGTCCCTGGCGCGTGCCGTTGCTGACCTTCTCACGGCCCGCGGGCTGCCTGCCTTGGAGTTCTCCCCTGCGGTCAGTAAGGGGGTATTCACGGGCTTGGGGATCGACGGAGCCTCTGGGATCATTCGTGTTCGTCCTGACCGCCTCGCTCGCACTCGTCAAGCCGTTCTCGGGCTTTTGAAGCGTGGGCGGGCCTCTGCTGGGGCCCTCAGCGCGCTCGTAGGCCACTGTACTTGGGGGATGATCCTGAGGCGCGACGTTCTGAGCATCTTTAACGCGGTCTATCGGTTCATTGGGGCTGTGGGACCTCATCCTGGACCCCTGTGGCCCTCGGTCGTCAGGGGGTTGTCGGCTGCCGTGGCCCTCATCCCGCTCTGGAGTGCCTCTACGAGGTCTCGCTGGCATTCGCGGGTCTATGCTTCTGATGCGTCGCCGTACGGGAAGGGCGTCTGTGTCAAGGAGGTCTCCCCCGCGCTGTCGTCCGAGGTCGGCCGAGTCGCCGAACGCTGGAGATATCGTCATGGGGATGCCGTGCTTGCCAGATCACATGCCCTTGACGTCGACGGTCGTGACGATGCTGCCGACGGTTGCCGTGCCGACACATCGTATACTGCCTCTACTGCTTCGTCGTCTGGGCCCAGTGGGTTCCTCGTGGTCCCTGAGTCCATCTACGGGGCCGAGGGTTGGACGACCATGTACTCTAGCCGTCATGCCCGCCGTGGCTGCGATATCCTTCAGTGCGAGGCGGAGGCCCTGGGGTTCAGCGTCCATCGTGCCTCGAGGGCCCTGGGTGCTCATCATCATCGCGTCGTCTGTATCGTGGACAATTTGACTCTAGCTCTGTCGCTCGGCAAGGGGCGGTCTGGGAGCCGACATCTTCTCCGCGCCTTGCGGCGGATCGCTGGCGTGGCCCTCGCCTGCGGCCTGCGCCTGCTCGTGCGGTGGGTGCCGTCAGAGAGGAAGTCGCGGACAAGCCGTCGAGGGAAGGTTTCTTCGTCGGCCCTAGCTTCGAGGACGTCGGGTCGTACCTCGTCGCGCGCCGCCCGCGGATCTCCCGAGGAGGTGATCGAGGCGGCGAGGGCCAGGCGGGGACATCCTGGTCCGCTGACGCTTCTGCGGGGCGGACTGTCGGTGCTGGAGGCCAACGCGGTCTCGGAGTCGACGGGCAAGAACTACCGCGCCTCCGCCCTCAGGTTTCTGAACTGGTGCCTCTGGACCGCCAGGGGCTTCAAGAACAGCGTCGAGCTCGACGCGATCCTCGTGGTGTTCTTCGTCCACCTCTTCCTCGACGGGTACGACAGTGCGACGGGCCGCGTCGCGATGGCCTCTCTGAAGCACCATCTGCCGTCGATGCTGATGGGCAGCCGCCCGCTGCCACGGGCCTTTCGGGCCCTTCAGGGTTGGACGAAGCTCGTGCCGCCGCAGATGAGGCTGCCGCTGCCGAGGGTCGCGATGTTCGCCATCGTGGGCGCGCTGCTGTCTCAGGGGCTTTTGTCGCAGGCGGTCTTCGTGAGGATCGCGTTCGACACGTACCTCCGCCCCAGCGAGGCCTACCGTCTCACGGCGGCCTCCCTGATCGCGCCGAGGTCGGGCGCCGCGGAGGGCTACCAGCACTGGGCTCTGTTGGTGAACGACGCGGCGAGCGGGGGGCCTGGCAAGACGGGGGTCACCGACGAGAGCGTCATCGTCGACGATCCTCTCCTCTGGCCTCTCCTCGAGGCGCTTCGGCAAGGACGCCGCGCGGAGGAGAGCCTCTGGGCCTTCGCGCCGCGCCAGCTGCGGCGCGCTTTCGCGGAGGCCCTGGTCCAGCTCGGGATCTCCGACCAGCAGACCTCCCTCTACTCGCTGCGCCACGGGGGGGCCTCCGACGACCTCTTCTCGGGTCGCCGCGCGAGGAAGGAGGTCAAGGACCGCGGCAGGTGGAGGACGGACCAGTCTCTGAACAGGTACGCCAAGCGGGCGCGCATGCAGCAGCGGCTGGGTCAGCTCGACCCTGCGCTGGTCGACTTCGGGCAGAAGGTCGAGAGCGATCTGCTGGGCCTGATGGGCGTGATCGCGAGGACGGGCATCTTCTCGCTGCCGCTGCCGCCCCTGAGGCCGGTGTCGGCGGCGGCGCCGGTGCAGGCGCCTCCCGCGATGACCGACAAGTGGCTCTTCGTGTGAGGCGCCTGTGGCTACGTGCGCGGGCGCGTGCCGCCGTGATGCCGTACCTCATCATGCTCTGCACCTGTGTCCCCGACCGAGTTCGGCGAGTGTGCGAGGCCCTCGGGCATGGCACCGTTGCTGTGAACGTTGCTCGACATCGCCTCGACGACCTCGCTGACCCTCAGGTTCTGAAGTCTCTGACTGGCTGGGTGCGCGCCTCGGCTGTGCTCGGAGTCTGGGCGTCCTTGCCCTGGGACACCTGGGCGCCAGGGGCGTCGCGTGTCCGCAAATTTGATTCTCTGCTGCACGTGAATAGAGCCTCAGAGGCCGCCTGTCGCGCCGTGCGAGTGGCAAACGCGTTGGCTGAATCCACCTTCAAATTGATTGCGGAGTGTATCTTCCGCAGAGTCCCGATCATTTTTATGCACCCTGTGTCGAGCCTCATTTGGAGGCATCCCCGCCTGTCCCCTCTCCTTGCCTCTTCCTCCTCCTCCTGCTCCCTCGATGCGTGCATGTATGCGGGGCGCGTGAGACAGCGACTCCACCTCGTCGGATGGAGCGTGCGGGATCTGGATTGCCTCGCTCGTCGTTGCCTCTGCGCCCATGGCCTCTGTGATCGCACTCTGAGACGTCACCTGGGAGGCCTGGGACGTCCAGCACTGGACGCCGTAGCTCGTGCCTCTGCTAAGGGTCTCCCCTCGGAAGTGGCCATTGCTGGCACTGAAATGATAGTGGCCGAAGCTCGTCATCTGCCCCGCGCCGCGAGATATAAGAAAATGTTTGGTCAATGAGTAATTCGGCTGTGGCCACCTGGGTAGACTAGCGTGTGGTACCGTGTCTGTGCTTCACTGCTGGCGTTTCCCTCGAGGCCGCCCTCCGCCGTTTGCACAAAGAAGAAACAAGATGGCCCCGAATCGTCCACATACAGCGACTTGTCGGCATTTGTGGCAACACCGCGGCCGTATTCCCTCGCTCAAGTTCTACCCTGGGCCCCCCCACCCACTTGAGCTTTTAATGTTTCTCCGTGTCTGTGCTTCACGGCTGGCGTTTCCCTCGAGGCCGCCCTCCGCCGTTTGCACAAAGAAGAAACAAGATGGCCCCGAATCGTCCACATCATCATCATCATCATCATCATCATCCTCATCATCATCATCGTACTCCCCCGTTGGTCCTTCCGTTCCGTTCCGTTCTTCCTCCTCCTCCTCGGTTTTCTCCACCTCAATTTTTCCCTCCTCCTCATCATCATCATCCTCCTCTTCCTCCTCCTCCTCCTCCTCCTCGTTATCCTCTTCCTCCGTTTCCCCATCCTCCTCCTCCTCCTCCTCCTCCTCCTCCTCCTCCCCCTCCACCACCTCCTCCTCTTCCTCCTCTTTCTCCTCCTTCTCCTCCCCCCCCTCCCCCTCCTCATTCTTCCGCCTCCTTCTCCTCCTCCTCCTCCTCCTCCTCCTCCTCCTCCTCCTCCTCCTCATTCATTCATTCATTCATCATGAGGCGGACGGTTGGAAGCCTATACAGAGAAGATGGCGAGATTCAGCGGGATGGAGACGGCGGCGACGAGGACCCCCCAGACCACGAGCCGCGCAGAGAGGGCAGCCGAAAGCCCGCGCACCCCCCCAAGAGGGGGGGACGCAGGGGAGGAAGAGAGAAGAAGAGGAGGAGGGCCCGCAGGGGGGGAGCGTGGGCCCAGGGTGCCCAAGACAAAGCGCTGGGCCCACCAGGGCCGAGCGGCCAGACAGAGGATTAACGAGCCGCGACCAGCTGCCGATGCCAACCAATCTACACAGCTACCTGGCCAGTATGTGCGCAGAAGCTTCAAGCACGTGTCGAATGGCTTCCTCTCGGATTGTGTCTGGCTGACAAGGTACACACTGCAAAATGCGAAATGCGACACTGATACATGGTGCACGCTCACACTGCTCACGTGGACATCAAACAGAAACCTGCTGTGCAATGACACGCCGCCTGACTGATGCCTAGGTTTCCCGCTGCACTAAGTGCTCAATTGCCCTGGATCCTCCCAGGTGACCGTGACGTCCCAGGTGCCAGCATGGTGATGCACGGAGAGGAACCCAAGATCTTGAACTTTGCGAACAAACAAGAAGAGCGCTTCATGGAGAACACTAACTGATGGTATGGAAATCTGTAGCCCGTCAACGGCTGAGCGCCTGAAGAGCTCCACGAATGACACTGTGGCCTCGCACTGTTGCTGCTCAGCGTTCGCTACACACTCGTGCTTAAATAACTCCAGAGTTGCTTCAATCCTCGCAGATGGGAGAGCGATCAGAGCCTGACTGTGCTCCGGAGCAGGGCTGAAGATAAGAGCATCAGGTCGGAGAGTGCTGGACACTTGCGCCGGAGTCGCGGACTCCCTCATGAGCTCCAGACTCACAGCAGCAGAACCGGCAGCCGAGGGTGTCGATGAGGGAGCTCTGGAAGGGCAGGGTGTAGGCCTCCTCCCCGTGCTCCTCCTCCAAAGCTTCTCCTCCACCCACTCCTTGTCCCCGCTGCCACCTGCACGAGGATCTTGAAGAGGGCCTGGAAGCACGTGACTAACAGTGGGGCCTCCGGCAACAGGGCGAATCGGTGCCAGCCACACCTGAACAACAGAGGTGCCGTCGCTGTGGAGATGCCCGCGGTCCACAGCTGAAAAGGCCGGGAGCTCCTCGAGGATGGCATTCACAATCGCCTGTATCGCAGCAGTCTGCACGGCCCCCGCCTTGGACGCAGTGGCAGGGGTGACGACAAACTTGAGCTTGGCCTTATCTGAGTCCCTGGCGCGGCTGACGGAGAAGTGGACGTTCCGTCCGGAAGCGGACTGTCGCAAAATCCATTCAAGTCGAGCAGCGACCACCATGGCGCGCGGGGGGGGGGGGAAATTATTCGCAGGTGCGAGGAGAAAGCCGTCCCTCAAGCAACTGCCTGAGAAAAGACGGCTGTCCTCCTCCTCCTCCTCCTCCTCCTCTTCCTCCTCCTCCTCCTCCTCCTCCTCCTCCCCCTCCGCCTCCCCCATCCTCCGCCTTCTCCTCCCCCAGCTGGCCGCCGTCTTACACGAACACTGCCAAACCCGACGGGCTGGCGTTTTCCGAATTACATTTCGTGCAACTTTCGGGGGGGAATCGTATTTTTCCCAACCCTCCTTGGTTGGGTATTCGTTTTGAATAGAGCAGTGTGGTCTCCACTTCCTCCTTCCCGTCCCGTCTCCCTCTTGCCTCCTCCTGTCTTGCCTGCGGGGGGCTGCGATCTGTGAAACTGTCGACTTTCGCGGCCTGCTGGGGGGCCCAGCACAGTGACGCCACGGGCGGACCCAAATTAGACCTCGCCATCCTGGGGGGCTGCGATCTGTGAAGCTGTCGCCACTTTCGAGGCCTGTTGGGGGGCCCAGCACAGTGACGCCACGGGCGGACCAGAATTAGACCTCGCCATCCCCTGGGGGCTGCGATC